AAGGAAAATGAACATCTGAAATAAACTTTAAAATTGGTTTATGTGATCAAGGTCTCTGAGATTTCTGGGTCCTGAAGGGAATTACAAACACATAAAATTATTTTAAGGAAACTAACTCTTCCAAAGCAGAGTAGCAATTCAAGCCAACCATTCAGCAATATTTTTATGGCAGTGTAACATCCATTTGAATAATATATTTCTTTTAACATTTTGTTTTGAAATATACATTCACAGGAACTTGCAAAAATACAAAGGAGAGGTCACATCTGCCCCTCATCCGTTTCCCTCCATGGTCACATCTTGCATAGCTAATATAATATGAAAATCAAGAAGTTGACATTGGTACAGTGTGTGTGCCTGTAGCTCTATGCTATTTTACCACCGCAGTCAAGATTCAGAACTATTCCATCACCACAAAGGTCTCCCTCAAGCTACCCCTTCAGAGTCGCATGCCTCCCCTCCACCACCCGTAATCCCTGGCAACCACTAATCTGTTCTTCATCTCGATAATTTTGTCATTTTCTGATCTCTTTTTAAAACTGAAGAAATTGATTTGCTTTTTGCAACTCCCAATTTAAGCATCTGCATAATAAATGACTCTTAGAATTCAGTGCTTTAAAAACATTGTTTCTTAAGAAAAATCTACTTGCTTCCTTTTATCAGACAGAGAGAATCCTGTAACCAAGCAAGTTTTAGGGCTGTCTACTTAGGGCTCACATCATGTAGTTACACTCCTCTCTGCACTCAGTACATGTACTTCTCTCATCCTTTTAATGGATTTTTGCTCTCTTTTCTTTCCAATCCATTCTCTTTTCTTTCCAATCTCATTATTTTGTTGTTTAATATGCATTGCTTTGAGAAGATGCCTTAATCAATTTTTGAAGTAGTGTATAGACTATAGATAAAAATGCTTTGTTATAGTAACAAAAATATTTAGCATTTACTGAGTGCTAACCAAAGCAGACATTCTCATAAGTGTTTTACATGTATTAATTCAATTTATTCTTGCAACCCTAGTAGTCAGCTGAGGAAACTGGGGCATGGGAAGACTAGGTTACTAGCCTGAGCTCACACAGCTAATGAGTGGCAGGGCCAGGATTCAAACCCAGGGAGCGTGGCTTCAGAACCCACTCCTGCAACTTCCAGTTTATGCTGTAAAGCTAGTGCCTTACTAAACAGCTTTTTCAAGGAATAACTGAATTCCTCTCTCAACAAACCTAATTTTTTGTTGCAGCAATTCTTTCTTGCTGTTTAAAAGTCTTTCTTTAACTCCTACATGGTAGCCTGTGAAATAAACCCATCCCTAGTAGAATATGCAGCCCCGATTATATCTCCCTTGATCAGCCTCTCTCTGTTCCCAATTCTATCAGTGAGATAAAATCACTGAAAGTTTATGTCACAAGTAGCTTGGAGGAGAAAATATGTCACAAAAGAGCAATATAAAGGCTTTTAGTGGAAGAGGAAAAAATGAGCCAACCCAATTAGCCTTGGTGAAGGAGCAGGAGGAGGGTGCAGTTAGAGGGCAAAAGCCTCAGGGCTTTAAATGCTTTAATCAGCTGGCAGAGCCTTCCCCTCCCCCATAGCTGCCCTCCTGAGCCATGTCCATCTGCCCATGGTGGAGTCAACCCAGTTGGCAGGATGGTAACCTTTGTGTTGCAGTGAATGGGCCCTTCATCTGGTGTGGGAACTATAGGTTCATGTGCTCTGCATCACAGGCCACATTTCTAAATCACTGTCACCTGGCCACTTAGGACTGCACGTGGAAGTAAGAGTGGACATGGCTGTGTATGCAGTCTATTCAAGTCTGTACACACAGCAGAGAATGCCAAGTACTCCAAAAACTAAAATGCCAAACAC